GTCTAATTTCACTTATTGCTTTACCAATGCAATGACAGTATAGAATTGCCTACTTTCTTCCTGATTTTCCACCTGTCCTTCAGAGTAGATCTGTAATTTGAGGGGCATCTGGGTGGTGCATTTGGTTAAGTGACCAACTCTTGGTTGTGGCTCAGGTCCTGATTTCTCAGGGTCATGAGATTGAGCCCTGTGTCAAGCTCTGCACTCATCGTGGAGACTGCTTAAGACTCTCCCCCACTCCACCCCTCCTACCTGTGTGCACGCAGGCTCTCGCTCTCTCTCTCTCTCTCAAATAAATAAATAAATCTTAAAAAAAGATGTGTAATTTGAGTCATATGTGGGTTAGATGAATAGAAGCATAAAGACAAGTAGAAGTTCATATTATATATAAATGTAAACTCTTTTATCACACATTATTGTTGCAGATATTTAACTGTATTTTTCTATATTTCAGTGAGATTTGAGTATCAGAGATGTTTGAGAAGAAGTAGAGTCTCTGTGAAAAACACAATGGGAAAATTAAAAAAGTAGACCATTATTTTGCAGTAGTATTTTGCTGTGTATGCTTGGGTGAAAGAGAGAATGACTATATTACTTTTAGAGAAGGTTTAAAAAGTTTTGATTTTTCATTCACATCAGGAAAAAGTTTAAAACAAGCCACCATACTCCTTAGTCCCAGAATGAAAGTTTTGAGAACACATAATAATTTATATTAAGTCAAGTGAGCTTTAAGGAGCCCTAAATTTCACATAACATTATTCACTAAAAGTCATGAATACATTTGAGAATAAACATTAGGTTTCTGATTTTAAGAATATTTATTTTAAAGTGAAAATTCCTAGTATTTTTTTAATTGTGAATGGGAAGAAAAGTATTATAAACTTTTGCAAAGACCTTGTGTGTGTTTGTCTCAGTGATAGCAAAAAATGTCTGGATAGTTTGGACTGAATCACAAAAGAAAAAACAGGGCTTTTAGAATTGGTATCACTGTTGTAAATGTAACCAGTGTGTACCATCTGCTTTCCCTTCTACTTCTGCAGGCTTTTCACTGATCTGGCTGATTTCATGAAACAGCCTTTTCACTTCCTCAACCACTCCTGACATTGTGTCCCTTCTGCATAAGCCACTTGCCCAGCTCAGTCATCTATCCCTACACGCTTGCCTAAGACACTATTTGTGTTCATTTCAAGCCATTAAGCCTGATAATTTAAATTTTTTTTCTAAATCTTCTGGATTTCTTATATTTGTTTAATTATATTATACATTCCAGTTTATTTAAAGTACATTCTTTATTCTATCACAGTTAACATAACTAATACTGTGTTGTAGCTGGGACACATTCCAGGTCTGGATCTCAAAGGGTGACTGTCAGATGGATAGGATAAAGTCAGTGAGACAGAACCTCTCCACTGAGTCTCAGGAGGCTCTTGTGTTTCAAATGTGTTAATGGAACTGTCCAGGTGGAAACCAGAGGTGTCATATCTGGGTTTCCTCCCTAGGGTTCCATAAATTCTCTTTCCTGGGATTCTGAATTGCTTTCTGAAGTTGCATTAAAAAATTTAATGTATTGGAAGTGTTTTCTTGTAAGGCTCTCTTTTTTAAAGTAAACTATTTTTATTCTTCTGGACCACATTTAAAATTATTTTAAATCAGTTATTTATAGTAATAGTTTTTGTTGCTCTACTTGGACATTACACAAAAGCAATTTAATACAGAAGCAGTCATGTGACCAAAATCTTAAAAATGTCCATTTTTTGTCAAATTTCTGATACAGTATTTTTCTAATCAAGGCAGTTACATCAGGCAGAGAGACTATTCTTTTGGATTATGGAAATAATTATTTCTGGCCCAAAGAGAGCCTTTTGACTCTGATTACGTTTTAATAAATATCAAAGACAGCAGTTTTTGGTAGGCTTTTTTGGTTCTCTCTCTCTCTGAAGGGACAAGAAATGACACATTCAAGTCTGAAAATGAGTATAGGTTGTGCAAAATCTCAAATGTTTTATTTGCATCTAGACAGCTGCAAAGCTGAAGAGAATTATTTTTTATTTATTTATTTATTTATTTTAGATTATTTATTTATTTGAGAGAGAGAGAACGAGAGACAGAGCACGAGCAGGAAGAGGGTCAGAGGGAGAAGCAGACCCCCCGCTGAGCAGGGAGCCCGATGCGGGACCGGGACTCCAGGATCATGACCTGAGCCGAAGGCAGTCGCTTAACCAACTGAGCCACCCAGGCGCCCTGAAGAGAATTATTTTTATATCTACTAGTTAAGATCGCAGTAATATATATTCATTTCACATGGTGGCAGAGGTGTCCTTAAATCGTAGATAATTGTCATTAACTTATATTTATGCATTTCAAATGGGTCACTAGTTTGGCTGAAAATAGTCAAAGTGAACAGAGTCAGCAAGGGGAGCTCTTTATATTGTTAGGTTACGTACATAACTATTTTTCCATTTGTTGAGCCTATAATATAATTGAAAGCATGGCTATTAAAATATTTAAAATTTGGTGACAGGAGTATGATCAGAGATTTCAAACAAGAAATACCTTTAGTGAAAGATTTTTTTTTTTTTAATTATTATTTATTTATTTGAGACAGAGAGAATGAGAGAAAGAGAGAGCACATGAGAGGGGGGAGGATCAGAGGACGAAGCAGACTCCCCGCCGAGCAGGGAGCCTGACGCAGGACTTGATCCAGGGACTCCAGGATCATGACCTGAGCCGAAGACAGCCGCTCAACCAACCGAGCCACCCAGGCACCCCTGTTTTTTTTTAATACATTTTTAAAATGCCATAGGCTCTCTCAAATTCTCAATATAAAGTACACATTTATATCTTATTATTAATTCCATTTCACAGTTCACACTCTGAAGGCATTAATAATAGATTTGTCTATGCACTATAATGAATGAACTTGCATTCTTAATTGCCACACAGCATTTCTTTAAGCTGCTCAACAATATAAATGTTATTTATTTATTTATTTTTTCAGTGAGGAAACATGCTCAGAAAGATTGAGATTTATAGATCAAAAAGCTAATAATTATCAGAAATGGGGTTTGAGTTAGTTCTATCTGAATCTAGAGTTTGCCCCCATTACTCCTATCAGTCTTTCAGTATCTTCAATCCATACCTCTCTATTTCTTACTTAAGCAAGAAAATAGAGTATAGCAAATAACAATTGTAGTTATCTCTGAGCTGGCTGGATCAATTAAAAGAATCTGTATTTTCTCTGTAAGCATTTAAAGCATTTGTTATAAATATTTTTATTTTTATTGAAACAAAAATATCAACTCTCCATGAATAGTCCTACATTGACAGAGTATTGGGATTGATATAGGAAAATAAATTATTGACCACTGTGCATAAAATATCTTTTTTAGTAATAAGTAATAATTAAGAATGATCATCAAATAGCACACTGTTGTTCTAATAGTGACAGGACATAGTTCCAGCCTAAATATATTTGATTCCAGCTGTGTAGCAATATAGTCAAATTATCAGAGTAGAATTGGCCATTCTTGTATTAGGATAAACGGGCTTTTGGAAGTATGAAATGAGAAAATGGGAAAATAATGAGTTATTAACAAAACAAGTGGTAGAGTCAAAAGTTTGAAGACCTAACCGATATGTTAGATATTACAATAAGGATTTTGAAAGAAAAAAAATGTGTGTCTTGTTTGAGTTCTGACCTGAACAAGCCAATTATTAAAAGCAATTATGAGAAAATTGGGGACATTTGAAACTTGGTAGATGTGTATTATATGATATTAAGAAATGATTTTTGTTTTCTTTATGTGTGATAATGCTTTGAGGGTACTTAGAGTGAAATGCTATGATGTCTGGGATTTACTTTATTTTTTTTTTTTATTTTATCTTTTATTTTTTTGGGATTTACTTTAAACTAATTCAGTGGACAGAGGGGAAAGAGGTTGGTGATAGTTGCATATGGATATCTATGTTCTTGTGTGTTGTTTAATAATTATAATAAGAAAGTTAAGAAAAAAAGAACAAAGACAAAGATAGTGACTTAACTGGTAGTGCACTTGTGTGATGGCGAACTTTACATTAATGGTAAGGACAGAGATATACCGAAGGTGTGTCCGGGATTGTTTGGGTGAATCTTTACTGCTCTTAACGACTCCTTAGTACTAGTACAGTGGAAAGTATTAAATGAGATGTTTGCATTGAATCACATAGAACAATGCCTGCCTGTAAAACAAATTCCAGACTTAAGAGCTATTCATTTTATTTCCATAAAGTTTGGGCTAAAATCAATACTGCCTATAACTATATATTATTATATGTATATTAAAGAAATCTTAGTAGTTTGGGGCAAATTCTTATTTTACCTATAAGTTTAGTTAGGTTGAAGAATTTGAACTCTTACTACACTTTACTAAGCCACAGGGAAATCTAAGAAAAATAAGACACAGTACCAGTGTCCCTGTATATATGAACTTCTGCAAAGGCATACCTATGAAGAAAAACACATGACAAGCAAATAAGGAAACAAAGACACAAAGTTTAAGTGACTCTCCTAAATTATAACTGCTATAAATAGTGTCAGGGATGAGAGTCCAAATATCAGGTCTATGTGCTTCTCATAGATTACATCTTTGTTTCAAAAGAACAGGTTGGAATAGACAAACAAAATGTAGGCTGACTACTTGAAGAACTTACGTATATTCATCAAGCTGACTCAGATCTGTGGCTGTAGTTGTCTCTCATTTACTACTGGCATCTCCAGGCTAGCCCAGGACTTGACTTGAGCTAGATGTGCAACAAGTATTTGTTAAATAAATAAACACACATTTGTATTTGATCACCCTTTATGTGGATAATTTATTATTATTCATAAATAAGTCCTCTGTGCTTTTATAGTTTAGTTTGTAAGATAAAAATAATAAGCCCTGAAAGGGAAGTAATAATAGATGATTAAAAAAAAGAGTAGTAACTAATACATATCTTTTTCTTTTTTCTTTTTTTTTAAGTAAGCTCTACACCTGATGTGGGGCTTGAACTTGTGATCCTGAGATCAAGAGTTGCATGCTCTACCGACTGAGCCAGCCAGGTACCCCAATAACTGATAAATTTCCAATATTTTTTCAAAAAAAGTGAAGTAGTCAAGTCCAAGGAGAGGATTCCAAAACCACCTTGTTTAAAAGCAAAACTTAAGTATGTTTTAAATCATGTACTTATATGAGACTATTTTGCTGCTTATATTATCAAATATTTTCATTCCTGTCAGAGAGAATGAGGGAAATAATTATAATCGTTCTTATGTAAGGATTCAATGCAATAATTTTTGTTTATGTTAATTCCAAAGGTGGGGCATCAATTCTTCATAATTACTGAAATTCTTACACAAACAATTTTTAATTTTTAATTTTGATTTAAAATTAAATGTGATTAGTATGTTTTTGCATAAGATGGGAAATAATGGGTGCATGGGGTTCTGAAATGGTGGTGTATTGACTTAGATAAAAAATTAACAGTTGCTAATAAGATCCATCCATGGCTTTTGAAAGATTTTTAGATTTTACTACTGTATTATTCCCTTTAACTCACACAAATAGTGAACCCTTCTTATACTCATGTATTTTTTTATGTTTTTCTCTGAGCCTGGCTTCTAACTGAGCTCCCTCTGGAGGACTATGCCAAACCAATATGATTCTTGCCTACATATATGCACGGATTTCTTAGAAAACAAGATTGTAGAACTATAAAGGTTGACGTGCTTATTGTGAGAAGTGGGAAAGTGACAGATGTGGAGAACATTTCCGAGGAGTCCAACTGGTCCATAGACGAGCACAACCGTATCTGATTAGGCCGACGCCTCTGACTGTCCAATTTGTACGACAGCCTGGAGGTCTCATTGTTTTTCAGCTCACTTAGCAATTAATGGTGCCATTGTTTTGGGCCAGCCCATTTGCAGAGAGATATTTGCTGGCAAAATCAAAGCTTAAGAAGATATAATGAGAGTAACCGAGGTGACTCTTACTATACAAAGCCCACAAGCTATGATTGTGAGCTTAGAAGTTCAGGAAATTCTTCCACAAATAAGTACACTTACATTTTTTAAAAGGGCTGCCAAGGAAACCTGAACTGTAATTAAAATGAACTCTTTGAAAAGTTATTTTTCTTCAGCTATAATTATTAAATATATTTCTCTGTCTTTTTGTATTCTAATTTGTTAAAACTATATTCTGAGAATTATTATTTTTGAATATTATTAATACTTTAAAAATGTATTCCTTTATGCCATCAAAATAATAATATTTTAAAACTTTTCACAAAAGTCTATTAAAGCAATGTGTTTGCCACTTCATTTAAAGTTATAATAGTGAACCACTGAGAATCGGGATAATTCCCCACCTCTAACCCCGTCCATAACTTTGCTTGCATTCATTGAAAATGTGCTGTGGGCTAGATCTTGATTTGGAATAATGAAATCAGGTTCTAAATTGAGTAGAAAAATTCAATGTTCCTGGCCACTTTTAGGTTTTATCAGTGCAAGGCATGATTTAAAAAAATCTATGGGTGAGGAGCTCTTAGTAGACTTATGACCAGAAAAATAATATTAAAACCAATGGTTTATTAAAATATAATGGCTTTAGAAAACTTGAAAACCAAAAGAAGGGGGAAAAAGTACCTGAAATACTAATATCATTATCCCATAATAACATTAAGGTTATAATAATAAGAGGAGGAATATTAAAAAGTTCTCTTCTTATAGAGTAATAGTTAACTTGCTTCTGCCAGTTTTGGCAAGCCCTTTGTATGATTTTTAGATGGATCTGGACTGACACATGGAAGTAATTCAGCTACGACTCTACCACAAAACAAGACTCTTCAATAGCATCTTCATCATCTAATGTCAACATCAGATTAATCTTTATAAAAATAAAGCCAGTTAACTCTATTGTCTATGCATTTCATATAATTTATTGCAAAGCTAGATTGTTTATTAACAGAACATAGACAATCTATGATTCTTTTTCTTTTTTTTATACAGCTTATCTTTCACTTTTGATGTTCATTTTCTCAAAATAACTTCTCTATTGGTAGTTAGATACAGAAAAAGTAATAGACTGTGGAGCCAGATGGACTGACTTGCCATTTCTCTAAAGACATAGTATATGTTGATGTGCATATTTTTGCTGTAAATTTGGTTCAGAGATATTTACTAAGTAGTGATATGTTAGAATTTGTTTTTAGCACTTGAAGTAGCATTATTATGAAATAGGAATATTTTGCTAAACTAGTATTTAACCACTTTTCATCTTTGATGATTCAGTGAATAGGGTAGTAGTATCTCAAAATTATGATATATTCAGTAGAAGCACATTAGGTATAAGGGACTCTTATCTGAAAATCTTATGTTGAAGTACAGCTCCTTTTCCTTTTTTTAGTATTTATATAAGAATTATCCTCAGCTTTCCCTTTTCTTTCTAGTCTTCCCTTGTAAATCACCAGTGGCTTTACCATCTACTTATTCATGGATGATTTTTGAATATACATACCTATTTTCAACCTCTCATTTGTGCCTTACAACGCACCACTCCCTCTCCAATTTCCTATGGTCATCTTTTCACTTAATATGTCCTCATACTTCATAATTGACATTTATAAACTCAATGTGTGGTCTTTCTTCTCCTGACTGATTTGCCTTCTGACTACCCTAAATCTTACTGCCTGCAACAACTTCCAGCATATTAATTACTAGGTTTGATGTGGATGTTTTGCCTGACCAATGCAGTGTGCCATTCTTCCCACTGATGCATATGCATTTCTTTCGAGGTTATGTGCAAAAATATATGAGTAAGGTGTATTATAGCTGATTTAATTGGCAAAGGATAACAGGTTTGTAATGCTTCCCTGTTATTTCCTTCTAAAACACTGTTTTTCCTTTTGTAATATCACTGAAGTTTTTCATACTTTTTTCCATAGTATACTTAGTGTCCACGGTCCAGGTCAGTTTGGACAGAACACAGCATCTTACAAGTCACAGGTGCTTAATGAATGCTTGGTGATTCATAAAACAATCTGAAAATGCTGTTTAGAACATTTAGAAATGTCTTTATTTTTCTTGAAAATTTTTATCTCCCTATACCAGCATGAATGGCTCATAACTGTTTTAAAAATGCAATATAAACTGTATAGCTAAAACTCAAGCTCTTTGTCTTCTTTGCTAATTGATAATTCCAATGTTTTTGCTTTTAAATGCACCAATCCAATGATATTTATGTAGCATCTTCAATTTTCTTTTACTAAGACAGTTGTACAGTTAAAAAAGATTGTTAGGGGCACCTGGGTGGTTCAGTTGGTTAACATCTGCCTTCAGCTCAGGTTATGATCTCAGCCCATTCTGGGGTCCCTGTTCAGCAGGCAGTCTGCTTCTCCTTCTGCCCCTCCCCCTGCTCATGCATGCTTTCTCTCTCTCTTTCTCTCAAAGAAATAAAATCTTTAAAAAAATGTTGTTAATTCCATATAATCATGTGATATCTTCTCTGTATATTCTGTTAGTATTTTGAGTTTGGGCTTTGTCATTGACTGCTAAGTAATGACTGAGCTTTGGATTCTGGAAGTGCGGTATAAGTGCCTGGAACCAGGTCATCAAGGAGCAAATGTCCTTCTGCCATATTTTTCATGTTGGCCAAAGTTCTCAAACTCATGGTTCTCTTAGGACCTTACTTTCAACAAATACCATTTAATGTTTGGAAAAAGCTGAACTTCTGAGAGAAATGTGACATGAAATGTACCGCAATGCCACATGTTCAATTTAAGGCAATACAGGTTAGTAGCTAATAGGAAATCATGTGACAGTAACAAGATGGTCCAATTTTTCCCTTGGATGATTTCTTGACAAAAGTCTAAATAGCAGACTCCACAGAATATTTGTTTCACACAATGTATTTTTAAATTTTTTAACTTCAAAATATCTAAATAGCATAGAGTACAACATAATAAAGCCTGGTATTTGTAAGAAAAGGTGACTGTAATTTATCAATTTTTAACCTTACTTGTCTCTTCATTAACTTGGTGAATTTATCGAGACACGTTAAATTTCCTTGTTGATGTTGGCAAAGAGTAATCTGACAAAATGTTGTGAAACATGTGGTTCCAACTCACTAGAAGTCTAATCCTAAATGCCTGAGTGAATTATAGGATAATGGGATGAATACTAGCATCAAGCAACTAGGAAAACGCAGAAACTTTCAGATTTCTCAAGACCATTTGTAGTTTAGAGCAAAATACAAATATGCTTTATAATGGCTTCTGCCCTTGAAAGTGTGATATGAAATACTTAAAGTTCTTGGAATTATATGTGAATATTTTATTGAAATACTAAATTCATAGGAACTTTGAAAAAATATGTATTTAGGTTATTTTACTATCTCTGACTTTTAGCAAAATTCAATCACTCTTCTCATCAACTTAAGCATCCAACTTGATGTTTAAGTTTTGGGTTGAATTATGTAGCTATAGAATAATGTTTATAGAAGTACATGCAAGAACCGAACGAAGTATACTGATATTTGATAGTGTCAACATTTTATTTACCTTTCACTAAAAAAACCCCTGAAAACTCAGATTTAATAACTAATAAATTTATTAGAACCTCAAATACTAGTCTTTATGGTGTGGAATTTGGATATTTTTTTCTAGCATAATAAATACACCCAGAAAAAGCAAGATTTTAGTAGATCCAGATTAATGCATTATGATTTCCATCACTCTATGGCTTCAAACACCTACCTGCCTGGGGGCATAACTTTGAACATTTTCAAATCAAATGCTATAGAATAAAATATTTATAAATATGGAGCTAGTTGCAAAAATTTCAAATAATAATCAAGAATATATCAAGTATAAAGTGTACCATGGAGGCCACAAAGACCTATATAACCTTCATTAAATATCTCTTTCTGTTAAGCGACAAACCCAAAGTATTCAGAGAAAAAATCTAAGTGCCAAGTGTATGACCGTCATCTTAAGTACAATAGAAATGCAAGTTCTGTGTCTTTTATACAAAATGAATTTTATGTACTATTTTTATTAATGTTAATC